ATTATTCTTTCTTCTGCTTTTTTCTTTGCTTTTTTTTTTTAACTTTTTTGAATAGAGAACAGCTTACAAGTTTCCAGCATCGTTTACTTATATCTGTAGGAGTCCTATATTCTATTGAAGTTAACAGCACTTCTTTATTCTTAGTTTAGGCCTAGCAAAACACCTAATTTTTAACTTTTCCAACTAATTGTTTTCTAGCGCTTACTGACAGAACGTTGAACGCTGTTAGTAACACTCTGTTTGCTTGACAGCCAAAAAATTTAGCATTTGAAACCAAAAGATCAGCTAGAACTTTTCCCTTTATTATAGTTCTGAATACGACGAAGCAATGTCGATGGTTTAGTGTTGCTTCGTTAACAGTATCTTTAGAAAAAGTTTAAATATAATTCTTTTTATAGTTTAAACCTGCAACTCTGCATTTTCCTGCTTTCTACGACATTGTTTATAAAAAAAACTTTTTCTCATTGGTTTTTTTATACTGTAGGTACTTGCAACCGGTGAATGAAAAAAGCCGTAAAATTCTACCACCAGTTCCGACAAAACCATCCGTATCATTGATGAAACTTAGAGATGAATTAACATCCCAGGAGACAAATGTGGCAGCAAAGCCAGACACTGATAAAGTCACAACCTATTCAAATACAACAGCAAACGATAATGTTGCAGATGTTGTACCAGCTCAATCAGTATTCAGTTTTGTTCCGTATACGCCGCTAGAAGCCACTACAGAATTTCGTCGCAATCCTTTTTATAATGGTAAATATTTTGCAAATTTAAGATTTACTTGACATCTAAATTGTGCCGATAATGTTTCTGCAGTGAATTGGGACAAACAAATATGTTAAGGTGGTACAAGGGGTTCAACTAAGGACAAAAAACGATATTTTGAAATGATTGCCAACAAACAGTTGGAGAACCCGCCGTCAAGTACTGAGCATTTTCTTAGCCGGAAAATAGAACTTGGAGGAGTAGTCGGATTACCGAGTGATTCGGCTACCGTAGCCTCCGGTTATGATTCGGTTGGACCAGAACTTTTGATGAATCGATCAGCAACTGCAACAGAAGGTAGCAGGTAGGAGCAACTAGTACAGGTGGTATTACATTAAAATATGGCTGCTTTTGCGGTATAAGTCGTATGACATGTAGTATTTATTTTCCCAAATATTATGACGCAAATCCAGTAAACTGTGTTGTGGAGA